GTAAGTTAGCCCCCAGATCACACTAATTTTGATTGGCGTTCATTCATCAGCTTCAGAAGCCTCGGTTATGAATCCAAGATTTTTGATGAATGGAATGGTGGGGGCGGGGATCAGGTGAATCACAATAAGACCCTGTGCCATCTAATTCTTCTTGATATTAAGGAGAGTGGTTCCTTGTTCCATTTAATGTCATTACATAGTCCTTGCTCCCTTGCTGTGAGTGTATCACTGGGTCCTATGGAGAGAGGGTACGGCCCACATACCCTTACATTTAAGCTAGACCCAGGTAGTAGAAGGTACTCAGAGCATGTCATTCTTCAGACAACACACTCATGGTGTTAAAGTGTGTTCAACCTTATTGGAGCAATAGGTGTGGCCTAGGTCAGACTGCAAGTCAGCTTTATATCCTTGCTCTCTGAAAGTCCTCATACAGGAAGACCTGGGCACAGAGGATTTCCTGGGTGCGGCCCACACACCCTTGATCCCAAGCTGTGTTGTTATTTGATGTTTACGTGTGGCCCAAGTTACTAGAGAACAATGATATCTTAATATACCTGATGTGAGAATGGTTGTTGCCTGTGTTGGAAGAATTGCAGGTACATTACCACAAACTATACTGGTACTACAAAGAAGATTCTAGATTAGCGTTGACAGTTCATGGTCTATGATGTGATGTCAATCATCAGTGCAAGAATGCTTGTGGTTGAGTCCAAATTTCTAAGTGAAATATCATGGATTTTGTCACAAATGAGGCTATTATTTGTCCAACAAATTAAATTGACGTGAGAGAATGCCTGGCCTCAGACCAGATTCTCGTCATGGGTATGTCCATTTCCTTTAGTCATTTACATGAAGTTTTGTCCCTTTAAAGCCTAGCTCCTTTGTGGTGGGATCTTGTCCTCGGTTGACTAGAGGGTATGCCCCACACACTAATTTTAGTTCAGGCTACTTAGGGTTCAAGGAGGTGCTGGGTTTCCTTTGATGTCAGTTTATGGCCTTGAACCTGTGTCAATAATCATGTCATAATCAAGTTCCCTTTCTTGGAGGGAAAAATGTATCCAGGTTTCAGTTAATCACATCAACTTCCCGGTTTGCCCAAGATTCTTGGTGAGCAGTCTACGGCTAGAGTTGAGTATGAGAAATTTAAAAAAGTCAGTCAAGATAATGTGCAGGTGCAGGGTAACACCCTTTGTGATAAGGTGCATCCATGTTACTGGATTATTTAGGTGAGCCCTTGCCACTTTATGGCAATGTTGTCATCCTTGTTCACATTTTGAGGATGTTGGATTGAATGAAGTGTGTGTGTCAGAGTAACACATCTGGTACTAAGAATGTCGCTTATATCAATCAGCATAGCTAGTATGGAGGGTTAGTCCAAGGCTATCAGTGACAAGCTGGGATGTGTGGGCACTGATGGCTTGGTTGGTTGGAAAATAAGAACTGACATTAAGGCCTTGAACAGAGAACCTCATGGTACAAACTGTAACCACGGTGTTGTTTCACTTTAGTTTTTGCCCTAGGCAAACATATTTGGTTGGGTTCAGTCCTCTTTGGGAGAGGATTAATCTGAGCTAATATCACATTCAATTTTGTGCCCAGACTTTGTCAGTGTCTTTGCTTAGCCCAGGCCTATTCCATTTGAGGGACTGCCCGGGGTTCACATCTCTTCTTGCTTTTTGCCTAGGTTCGTGGACTGTCGCAAGCCACATATGTTTGCTGTGGGCCGGGGCTTCAGGTCCCCATATTTTATCTTTTTCGTCCTAGGCTTACTTAGGGTCTGAAATTCTATCTTGGTTTCTATCAGAGTTCTTTTCCTTCAGGGAACACCCAAGCCCTCATCTCTTCTTACTTTGGGACTGGGCATCTTCAGGGTCAGGATGAGCCCAATGAGCACTCATTTACTTGATTTTGCCCTGGCTGATTTCTTTAGAGGAAGTGTCAGAGGGTCTGATAATGTCACATTTTCAGCTGGGGTTTTCTAGGATCAGTGATTTGCCCAAGCCCACTTCTCTTCTCACTTTGTGCCTGGGAACACTCATTTTCACGTTTGGGATCAGGCCTCTTTCATTTGGAGGGTCAGACCCAAATATCACCCATTTTTGGGCTTCTTTAGGTTCAGGGATTCACCAAGGCCCAAATCTCTCCTTGTTTTCAACCTGGGTTTTTCTGGTTCATGAATTGGCCCAGGCCCACACCTCTTCTTGCTTTGGGCCAGGGCCTTTTCAGGGTCAGGACTGGCCTGGGCACACTCATTTTCTTGGTCTGGCCCTGGCCTCTTTCATTTGATTGGCCCAGGACTAATTCTCTGGATAATTGGGCCCAGGCTTCTTCAGGGTCAGGGGTTAGCCCAGGCCCATGTCTCTTCTTGCTTTGGGCCCGGGCCTTTTCAGGGTCAGGACTGGCCTGGGCACACTCATTTTCTTGGTCTGGCCCAGGCCTCTTTCATTTGATTGGCCCAGGCCTACTTCTCTGGATAATAGGGCCCAGGCTTCTTCAGGGTCAGGGGTTGGCCCAACCCACATCTCTTTTTGCTTTGGGCCCAGGCCTTTTCAGGGTCAGGACTGGCCTGGGCACACTCATTTTCTTGATCTGGCCCAGGCCTCTTTCATTTGATTGGCCCAGGCCTACTTCTCTGGATAATTGGGCCCAGACTTCTTGAGGTTCAGGGGCTAGCCCAGGCCCACGTCTCTTCTTGCTTTGGGCCCGGGCCTTTTCAGGGTCAGGACTGGCCTGGGCACACTCATTTTCTTGGTCTGGCCCAGGCCTCTTTCATTTGATTGGCCCAGGGCTACTTCTCTGGATAATTGGGCCCAGACTTCTTGAGGTTCAGGGGCTAGCCCAGGCCCACGTCTCTTCTTGCTTTGGGCCCGGGCCTTTTCAGGGTCAGGACTGGCCTGGGCACACTCATTTTCTTGGTCTGGCCCTGGCCTCTTTCATTTGATTGGCCCAGGACTAATTCTCTGGATAATTGGGCCCAGGCTTCTTCAGGGTCAGGGGTTGGCCCAGGCCCACATCTCTTCTTGCTTTGGGCCCGGGCCTTTTCAGGGTCAGGACTGGCCTGGGCACACTCATTTTCTTGATCTGGCCCAGGCCTCTTTCATTTGATTGGCCCAGGCCTACTTCTCTGGATAATTGGGCCCAGACTTCTTGAGGTTCAGGGGCTAGCCCAGGCCCACGTCTCTTCTTGCTTTGGGCCCGGGCCTTTTCAGGGTCAGGACTGGCCTGGGCACACTCATTTTCTTGGTCTGGCCCAGGCCTCTTTCATTTGATTGGCCCAGGCCTACTTCTCTGGATAATTGGGCCCAGGCTTCTTCAGGGTCAGGGGTTAGCCCAGGCCCACATCTCTTCTTGCTTTGGGCCCGGGCCTTTTCGGGGTCAGGACTGGCCTGGGCACACTCATTTTCTTGGTCTGGCCCAGGCCTCTTTCATTTGATTGGCCCAGGCCTACTTCTCTGGATAATTGGACCCAGACTTCTTGAGGTTCAGGGGCTAGCCCAGGCCCATGTCTCTTCTTGCTTTGTGCCCGGGCCTTTTCAGGGTCAGGACTGGCCTGGGCACACTCATTTTCTTGGTCTGGCCCAGGCCTCTTTCATTTGATTGGCCCAGGCCTACTTCTCTGGATAATTGGGCCCAGGCTTCTTCAGGGTCAGGGATTAGCCCAGGCCCATGTCTCTTCTTGCTTTGGGCCCGGGCCTTTTCAGGGTCAGGACTGGCCTGGGCACACTCATTTTCTTGGTCTGGCCCAGGCCTCTTTCATTTGATTGGCCCAGGCCTACTTCTCTGGATAATTGGGCCCAGGCTTCTTCAGGGTCAGGGGTTGGCCCAGGCCCAAGTCTCTTCTTGCTTTGGGCCCGGGCCTTTTCAGGGTCAGGACTGGCCTAGGCACACTCATTTTCTTGGTCTGGCCCTGGCCTCTTTCATTTGATTGGCCCAGGCCTACTTCTCTGGATAATTGGGCCCAGGCTTCTTCAGGGTCAGGGGTTAGCCCAGGCCTACATCTCTTCTTGCTTTGGGCCCGGGCCTTTTCAGGGTCAGGACTGGCCTGGGCACACTCATTTTCTTGGTCTGGCCCAGGCCTCTTTCATTTGATTGGCCCAGGCCTACTTCTCTGGATAATTGGGTCCAGGCTTCTTGAGGTTCAGGGATTGGCCCAGGCCCATGTCTCTTCTTGCTTTGGGCCCGGGCCTTTTCAGGGTCAGGATTGGCCTGGGCACACTCATTTTCTTGGTCTGGCTCAGGCCTCTTTCATTTGATTGGCCCAGGCCTACTTCTCTGGATAATTGTGCCCAGGCTACTTCAGGGTCAGAGGTTAGCCCAGGCCCATGTCTCTTCTTGCTTTGGGCCCGGGCCTTTTCAGGGTCAGGACTGGCCTGGGCACACTCATTTTCTTGGTCTGGCCCAGGCCTCTTTCATTTGATTGGCCCAGGCCTACTTCTCTGGATAATTGGGTCCAGGCTTCTTGAGGTTCAGGGATTGGCCCAGGCCCATGTCTCTTCTTGCTTTGGGCCCGGGCCTTTTCAGGGTCAGGATTGGCCTGGGCACACTCATTTTCTTGGTCTGGCCCAGGCCTCTTTCATTTGATTGGCCCAGGACTAATTCTCTGGATAATTGGGCCCAGGCTTCTTCAGGGTCAGGGGTTGGCCCAGGCCCACATCTCTTCTTGCTTTGGGCCCGGGCCTTTTCAGGGTCAGGACTGGCCTGGGCACACTCATTTTCTTGGTCTGGCCCAGGCCTCTTTCATTTGATTGGCCCAGGCCTACTTCTCTGGATAATTGGGCCCAGGCTTCTTCAGGGTCAGGGGTTAGCCCAGGCCCATGTCTCTTCTTGCTTTGGGCCCGGGCCTTTTCAGGGTCTGGACTGGCCTGGGCACACTCATTTTCTTGATCTGGCCCAGGCCTCTTTCATTTGATTGGCCCAGGCCCACTTTTAGTCTCTAATTAGGCCTGGGCTTTTTTTGAGTCAGAGTTTACTTGGGTCCCCACATCTTCTGATTTGGGGTCTAGGCTTTTTCAAGGTTATGGTACCTGTTTATGTTTAGGGTAGAGATAGTGGATCCTTTTCAGCCTATGCTTGCCAAATTCTTTGACTTGGTCTATTGTCAGCATTTCTGAAAATATAAAATAGAAAAGTCAGGTGGACATTTATATTGGAAATTCAAGCGTCTTAAATTTTCTCAGAGCATCACTGACCCATCCTCTCGGAAACATGCACAGACACAGACACAAAGAGCTCACAGTTCACATGAAATAATTATACATTATACAAAGATGAAATATGTAGGAGAGAAAGCTGGTTGTGTAAGTCCTTCTTGTTGCACTGCTGACTGTCCTTGGTGGAGGGGATATCCATGAGCTCATATGGAAAGACTATTCCTTCGACGTTGTGAGATACACATAGGGGAGTCCCACCGAGACACCATGTTATATTTCCTTTCTGTGGTCTGAACCCTTGATGGAATATCACAGTTACAAGAAACAGCACAGGTTAGTCCTCCCAGTATCTAGAGGATGCCTTGCTAAGGCATAGAAGTATCTACAGATCATCACAAGATCTCTTTGCTGTGTGGGGATGGCGTCCTCTCTCTGTATGTCATACATGCCATGTTCAGTGAGGGTATTTCTGTGGTGTTTGTTATTGCAACCCTTCTCAAGGTCATATTTGTCTTATCCATCAAAAACCCCTCAGACACCTAATCTCCCTTTGTCACCCATTTCAAGAGAGCACCCTGCCAATACACTGGTGTGAAATCACTTCTTCCCCACAGAAATTTCTGCAATCACTTACCTGAAATTGATCATTGCCCACCTTCTCCTGAGCTAAACCCTGGTCCACTGTAATGGGCTCTGCTGCCCTCAGATCTGGGTCACACCCGGAACTATGACAGTGACCCTCATGTGATGTCACAGAGGCCAGGTCTCACTTTGTGTGAATACTCAAAGGCTGTCGTGCTCACAGATGTCCCTGAAGTCCTCCCTTAAGATCATTTCTTGGGAACAAGCTCATATCCTGTCTTCCCTCTCCAGGGAATTTCACCCCTGGGCCCAGCTTGTTCAGTGGGGAAGGGACATACTCATCCCTAATGTACAAAGTTCACCTATTGGTGTCTCATTTCTGTTCCTCAGTTTATCAACAAGTTTCTCTTGTCAAGAGATTTTAAGTGTGCCATCTGCAGGATTTTGGGTATCAAGCTGATGGATAATGTTGGGGTGCCACCTCTCCCATCACCACCATTAAACATAGCTTGCAGGAGGATTGTCCAGAAAGCAGTTTGTGATGAAATTGCCTTACCTGGTCCTGCCATGATATAGTCAATGACTTCTGAGAATGTCACTCTGGACATTTGTATAACAGCAGAGATTCTTCCTGTTGTCATTTGGAAACTGGAGTTCCAAGGCACGTGCTGGCTCTGCCTCAGCAGCTGTCACCTTTTCTCACAAATACAGGTGGAGGTTAGTGGAAGAAAATTGACAAAATCCCCTCAGACATACACACAGATTCACCCACAATTATATGAACACAGGTCTCAAAAGTAAAGGCTTAAGTTTGAAAATAAAACGGATAGAGTATGGCATCAGTGACTGTGGCCATTCTGGGAAGGGCCTATGAGCTGAATGTAAAGATGATTGCCAGGAAGGTTCATGTCTAGAGAAGCCCAAGAGAAGCACTCCTACCTGTGAAGCATGTGCTCCCTGTGGGGATGTCACAAACGGGTGGGTGGTGCCAGTAATTTTCATTAACATTCTGGAGGCTCAAGCCTTACATCATAGACTATGCACTAAGTTGATACTTTCTTCAGAGGCCTCTCCTCATTAAATTTTAATATACAATTTAAATTTAAATGTGGATAGGTTAGGGAGATGGCTGTAGTTATGTTTCATATTGTGTCCCTGACTTCAGCCATGCTGGGCCCAACCCATATTTACAAAAGACCAGGATTCTGCTGTCTAGAAGCAAAGTCCCTTCAGACCCCTGCAGTAATGAATTTGACACATTCCCTACCTGCCCTGTCACTGTGGGCTGCCATAGCTGATGGTTGTCCCTGGCTTGGGCACAATAGCAGAGTTTATTCTGCACCAGCATGGAGACTGAAGTCTTCTCATATGATACAGACTGGGTGTGGACATCCCATGGCCTCTTTCTCCAGTGAGTTGTGGGTGTTGTCTTCCTGAGTCCTTGTTATACTAGTTCTTTGTCACACATCTTAGATACTTACTGCAGCTTTTTCTACAGCTATAGCACAGGTCCTGTTAAAGAACCACATTGTGCCTCATATCCTTTATCATCCCTGCTCCCAGTATAGCACAGTGAGGTTAAATTATGCCTTCATCCCAGGATTCCTGTGTATATTTCTTCCTCCACAGAGCCTAAACCTTTTTCTAAACACATCCAAGTGAAAACCTGTATAAGCACAGAATTAGAAGGACAGTACTGCCATGGTGCTTCCTGTGATAGTGACATTGGTGTCTATTCCCATATTATGCCCCCTGTCTATCTGAGTACAAATGAAAACATGGTTACCACCAGGGACTAGAGCTCTCAGGGAAGATCAGATATCCGTGCCAGGATGCTTTGCCCACACTCCCTGATCACCTATGTTCGATGGTCAAATGTGGGCATACATACAGGAACCCTCTGTCTTTCTCAGCTAGGTCAGAGGCTGGACTCCTGGTGCAGATCCACCTGTGTGGCTTCATCCCAAGGCCTCTCTCTCTGTGAGTGGAGGGGTTTCTCTCCATGTGGTCTTGAGGGGCCATTCCCACTGCTATGAGGCTTCTGACTCCTGCTGTTTCTATTTCTTAGGATGAGCTGTCCTCAGGCTGGGACATTTCAAATACCTTGCTATGTTTCATTGTCCCTATTTAAGATCTCAATGAAGAAGTGCCTCAAACTGAGTGAGTCACTCAGGTTATTAATTTCAGGTAGTATCCATCCCAGAAAACATCCCAAACTTACCCAGTCACATGCACTTGCTGTGATTCTAGCCCTCCTTCTGGACTCTGGCTTGTCCTCAGGTAAGACCCTGGCATTACTAGGGCAGGGTTCAATTGTGAGGTCACAGAGGCCTTACCTACCTCATTCTGAGAATCACAGGTCATCCTGATCTCAGTTCTCTCCCAGTCTGACCCATCCTTGTTCTTTGCCAACCTATGCAAACATCTTTAGAAGCACTTATCTTAGGGAAAGCAGCTAGAAGTGTCTCAGGGATATTTCCGTGAGGATCCATTACATTTCTCTCCTGTTATTCCTCCATCTTCCCACAGGTACTATCACCCTTGAGAGGAGGAACGCAGTTGATAATGCTGCTTCCTCAGCTCAATTGTCTGAACTCACATCTGCCTCATCATCTCAGATTCTCCATAGTTACCATGGTTTACTTCTGGCACTCAAGTTCCATCTTCTGCCCCTTCTACCTGGTTCCAACAGTAACTATATCTTATTTTCTACCTAACTCTCTGCATCAGTGATCTTGAGTTTGGTTGTGGATTATTAGCTAGTGCTTGCCTGGCATTCCCTTGGCCCTGGGTTTTAGAATAAACAGCACAAAAATATATAGATGAGTAATGAATAAATACATACACCATGGATGATTCACAATAGAGTCGCAGGCAGAGCCCAGCTTGTGAGGTACAGAGACCCCTGGAAGCACAAGGTTTTCCTTGTCCCAAATCAGCTGACCTTTCACTGAAAAAGCTGTGAGCAGGAATGATCAAGCTGTCCAGAAATGTGCCAAGCCCTTTGTCCCCACATGTGTGCAGGTTATGCAGTGGTAGTCAGGCTCTGTTAGCCCTGCTGTGACGTGAGACTCTTTGTCAAGTCTGAGCTTCCCCTGTGCAAAACTTCAGTCTCTTAAGTACCAGGTTTCCAGTGTTTCTCATGATGGGGTGCTGTACATGAATCATAACTGACTCCAAACAAGGGGACTTCTGGCCAACCTGGTCAAGGGGCTACTGTGCATTCTTTGTAGAGAAGAAATTGTTGTAAGGCTCAGACATTAATTGTGAAAATCTTGAAGGAGAGCCAATGGGTTCTTTTTTTTAAGAAAAAGGACATAAAACAAGGGTTAGGGAGCTAAGGTTCATTCTGGAAGGAGTTAGGGAGAGGAGTGTGGGGTAAATAAGATCAGAATATATTGTGTGATATTGTCAAAGAATTAATAAAAATATTTATTTATTTATTCGACTTCATCAATGGCCTCTTTGAACATCCTCAAACAAACTCCCCTGCTAATTGCTAGTTTATTTATTTGTTAATTCATTCATTTATTTATTCGACTTCATGCATTGGCCTCTTTGGAGGTCCACAAACAATCAGCCATGCCACTTGCCTGGCCTCCACAGCTTTCTTTAGTTGTGGAGGGAGATTCTATAACCCCTTTCTCGTATAATGTTTCTAAAGCTGTATTTCTCTACCTGTGGTCAGGACTCCTTTGGGGTTGGTATTGAAAACTCCATTCACAAGGGGTATCCTTAGACCATAGGATATTTACAGTACAATCCATAACAGTGGCCAAATTACAACTATGAAGCAGCAATGAAAATATATTATGGTTGTGGGTCATCACTTCATAAGGAACTATATTAAATGGTTGCAGCATTAGGAAGGTTTAAAACCACCTCTCTAAAGCCATAATCACGTGTGATAAGCTAAAAGTTCTACTACTTCCAGAAGATGGAACATTGCCCCTCCTTCACATACATTTTCACCAGCTTTCTGGGTTTATGGTTTTCTTCACTGTCTAAGCTTACCAGTCCTGGAATTCAGTCTGTAGACCATGTTGCATGAACTCAGAGATACACCTGCCTGTGCTTCCAGAGCATAAAATATCACAGGAACAGTCTCTAGTACACATACTAAAATTCTTCTCCTCTGAAACCTCCTGAGTCATGCCCTCACTGTTCAAAGCACTCTCAGCACCACTATCTTCCATACTCCTACTGGTGAGGCCCATTAAGCCCCACTTAAAGTGTTCAACTGCTTTTCTAGTCCAAAGTCCTCAATCCTCCAAACAAAAGTGTGGACATCCCTTCACAGCAATACACCACTTCTGACAACAGCAACCACTGTCTAAGCTAGCGTCGTATTTCTTTGAAGAGACACCATGACCATGTGATAGTTTGAATGTAATTTGCCCCTATAATCTCATGAGGAGTGGCACTATTAGGAGGTGTGACTTTGCTGCAGTTAGTATGGCTTTCTTATAATTGTGTCTCTATGGGGGCAGGCTTTGAGATTTCCTGTGTTAAAGATCCCACTCTGTGTCTCAGTTCACTTCTAATTTAAATTAGAAACAAGTTTGCTTCACATGTCAATTCCAGGTCCCTCTCGGTTTCCCTCCCCTCCTCAGGTGCCCTCCCAACAACCCCCCCAATATCCCCACATTTCCCCAGGGAGGGTGAGGCTCTCCATGGAGGTGTCCATAGTCTGTCATTTCATCCAGGGCAGGGCCTAGATCCTCCCCCAAGAGTTCAGGGTGAGAGTGAATCTCTCCTTGTTGGATGGGAATCCAAAGTCCATTTGTATACATGGGATAAATACTGATCTACTACCCAAGGCTCAATAGATTACCTAGGCCTCCTCACTAACACCCACATTCAGGGGGTCTTGATCAGTCCCATGCTGGATTCCCAGGCATCAGTCTGAGAATCAAGATCTACCCCCTTGTCAAGTCAGCTGTTTCTGGGGGTTAAACCAGCCCAGTCTTAATGCCTTTGGTCATCAGTCCTTCCTCTCTGTCACTGGATTTCTTGAGTTCAGCTCAGTGCTTAGCTGTGGAAGTCTACCTCTGCTTCCATCAGCCATTGAATGAAGATTCTGTTTCCCAGACTCTCTGGCCATGGAATTGTAGGCTGGCACTCCCCAGATCTATGTCTAAAATCCATATATGAGAGAGTACATGCCATGTTTCTCTTTTTGTGGCTGGGTTTCCTGGCTCAGGATGGTTTATTCTAGTGCCATCCATTTGCCTGCAAATTTCAGGATTCCCTGGTTTTTTTCTGCTGAGTAGTACTCCATTGTGTAGATGTACCACTATTTCTCTATCCACTCTTTGGTTGAGGGGCATCTAGGTTGCTTCCAAATTATGGCTACTACAAATAATGCTGCTATGAACATAGTGGAACAGACATCCTTGTTGTATGAATGGGCTTCTTTTGGGTGTATGCCTAAGAGTGGAGTTCCTGGGTCTTTTGGTAGATCTATTACCATTTTTCTGAGGAATCTCCATACTGATTTCCAAAATGGCTGTACAAGTTGGCACTCCCACCAGCAGTGGAGGAGTGTTCCCCTTTCACCACATCCTCTCCAGCACAAATTGTCATTGGTGTTTTTGACTTTAGCCATTCTGACAGGAGTGAGATGGTATCTCAGAGTTGCTTTGATTTGCATTTCCCTGATGGCTAAGGATGTTGAACACTTTCTCAAGTGCCTCTCAGCCATTTTAGACTCCTCTGTTGAAAATTCTCTATTTAGTTCTGTAGCCCACTTTTTAATTGGATCCTTTGGTGTTTTGGAGACTTGCTTCTTGAGTTCTTTGTAAATTTTGGAGATCAGCCCTCTGTCAGATGTGGGATTAGTGAATATTTTTTCCCTTTCTGTGGGCTGCCTTTTTGTCTTGCTGACTGTGTCCTTTGCCTTACAGAAGCTTCTCAGTTTCATGAGGTCCCATTTATTAATTATTAATCTCACTGTCTATACTACTGGTATTATGTTCAGGTAGGTGTCTCCTGTACCAATTTGTTCAATGGTACCACCCACTTCTATTCTAAGAGGTTCAGTGTGGCTGTATTTATGTTGAGGTCTTTGATCCATTTGGACTTAAGTTTTGCCAGCACCCAGTTATGCCAGTACCATTTGTTGAAGATGCTTTCTTTTGTCCATTGTATATTTTTAGCTTTTTGTTAAAGATCAGATGTTCATACATGTGTGGGTTGATATCAGGGTTTTCAATTTGATTCCATTGTTCTACATGTCTATTTTTGTTCCAATACCAAGCTGTTTTCAGGACTATAGCTCTATAATAGAGCTTGAAGTCAGGGATGGTGATGCCTCCAGACGTTGCTTTGTTGAACAGGGTTGTTTTGGCTACACTGGGTCTTTTGTTTTTCCATACAAAATTGATGGAAGTTCTTTCAAGTTCTGTGAAGAATTGTGCTGGTATTTTAATGGGGATTGCATTGAATCTGTAGATTGCTTTTGGCAGGATTGCCATATTTCTTGGATGTTTCATTTTAAGGAATTGTTGTACTTAAGAATTTCTTTGGTTGATGAATCCATTTCTCCTAGTGTATCTTCAACACCTGAGATTCTCTCTTCCATCTCTTGTATTCTCTTGGTAATGCTTGTATCGGTAGTAACTGACCGTTTTCAATTTCCAGCCTTTCTGCAGATTGTGTGTGTGTGTTTTTTTTATTGTCTCTATTTCAGTTTTCAACCCTTGAACTGTTTGAATTGTTTCTTGTAATTTTCGGTTTATGTTTTCGTCCATTTGTTACATTTTATGAATTTTTTGGTTTTTTCTTTCTTCCATTTCTTTTGGGTTTTTGTTTGTTTGCTTGCTTTTTCTTCAATTTCTTGCATTTTTTGGTTTACTTTTTCTTCCATTTCTTGTATTTTTGGTTTGTTTTTTCTTCCATTTCTTGCCTTTTTTGGTTTGTTTTTACTTTCATTACCTGCCTTTTTTGGTTTCTTTTTTCTTCCCTTGTCTGCCTTTTTTGGTTTGTTTTTTCTTCCATTTTTTTTTGCACTTTTTGGGGTTTTTTTTTTCAATCCATTTCTTTGAGGGATTTTCCTATATCCTCTTTTAGGGCCTCTATCATTTTCATGAAGTTGTTTTTAAGGTCATTCTCTTCTTCATTTGAATTGGAATGTTGGAGTCTTGCTGGTGTGGAATCTCTAGAATCTGGCAGTGTCATATTTGTTTTTCTGTTGCTGAGTGTGTTTTTGTATTGTCTCTTTCCCATCTCTTCTTCTAGTGGGTGCAGAAAGAGCCC